GTGTAATGAAAAGTAAACGAAATGCACAGGACTGCTGGTCCCGTGCATTTTCGAAAAACTCTTCCGCAGCAAAACCGACCCTTTTCAGATGAAAAGGGTCAGTTTTGCTGATTTTTTTTTTTAAAACGGTCTATTTTGCTATATAAATTTGAAAAATGAGTGTTTTTAAAAATTTGTCCTTTGGCAGCCTATGAGTTATGATTTAGAAATGGACAGTCAAATGAGTATGGGCAAGTTATAAGGTTCCTTTACGAAATGTGCATAGAAGTCCAAATTAAACATATGATATTGATCCCATGCCAATACACTAGTCACTTGCATGGGCGGGCAAGCTTTTTCCACATATCTTTAATGTTATTACTTCACCAAAAAAAAAAGAAAAAAAAGAAAAAAGAAAAAAGAAAAAAGAATAAATGTCACAAAACTACTATGAACTATTGGAATCTTGAAGGAAACTACCTCTCAACTTTTGTTAGAGAAAATTACCACTAAATTTTTCCACTAAACTACCGTGGCTAGGCTGGTGAAAGCTATGGTCACGTGATAAGCATATGAGCTTTACTTTTGGACAACTTTGCCCTCATTTAGCTTATATAACAACTTTTTCATCCTTGCACCTTAACACCATAATAGCGGTATTTAGTCATATTAACTGCACTATTAACACCGTTATGGGGCTTTCTGTTGGTTTAGAGTTTGTGATGCTTTTCTCTAGTAAAAATAGCTCAGAATTTTTTCCCACAAAATAACTGATATGGTAGTTCGTGAAATCTACCTGAAAAATAGTTCATAGAATATAAACACATTCCCAAACAGCATTGTGGCTTCGTGCAGACGTTATCCCATATTAACCAAGCGATAGAAAATTCATTATTGAATATGTTGCTATATTAGATTTCTGAAATTACCATGTTTGTGATGCTTTTCTCTAGTAAAAAACAGCTCAGGAGAATTAGTTTCCAACAAAATATCTGACATAGTATTTTGTGAATTCTACTAAAAAATAGTTAGTAGAATGTAAACACATAACCGAACAAATTTCGTATATCATCCCAAAACAGTAATCAAGTGATAGAAATTTCACTGTTGAATTTGCTGCTATATTTGAAGCTAATGGTGGTTTATGTGTAACACACCGTCCACATTGTGATGTACTTCAATTCCAAAATAATGTATCTTGTATGTTGTTTTGACTGCTAAACCCATTTAAACATCTCTAGCCTCTAAGTGCATCTGGTCTATTTCGATGTTGTCCTTTTGAGGAAGTTGATGTTCTTATTTTTTTAAGCAGTATGTTGACGAATTTTTTTCTCTCTATGCAACTTAATAAACACTCAGTTTCTTATCTATCTATATTCTGAGTATTTCTGTTAAAAATGTATACATTAATATCTTCTAAACATGATAATCTTTCCACACGATTCGTGGTTGAACAATTTTAGTTAATCATTCTTCATCATTTGAATTCCTACAAAACACAATTTTATTTTGGACAGCGAAATGTCATTTTTACATGTGTTTCAGCATGAGCGTATGGGTTATACTTTACAATAAGCTCCAATTCTTTCAAAATGTTCTAACCATGCATACACTAGCAATCATAGAAAGTGGAAACCTTGTACAGATGCTTATGACTGTACTTGCGGTGATGTTTTATAAATCGTGATTGAGCTTGAGAATGTGATCTCCTGCTTGTTTACAACATGAACGCAGGAGAACAACAGATGTGAACTCGGGAGGCTTGACATTGAAAAACATGACGATTTTCTGGGCATGCTGAAAGGATTTGTAACAAATCAGGTATTACTTGTTGCTTTCTTTAATATGTCAAAAGAATTACGTAATTAGCATTGTTTGTGTTTAGCTTACAAGTTGGTGCGTTTAATTTAGCATTTTCCATTGTTCCTGTCTAAGATTTCAATGACTTATTAGCTGCTTGGCGAAAGGCAAATAGTTTCCCGCTAAGAGTTCTACAAGTTATTAGCTGTTTGATGAAAGTTAAACTGTTTTATCTTTCTTTCTAACAAGTCTCCAACGGGACATGTATCTGAAAAATGAGATCTTTTTTGTACGAGGATTATGACTTATGAGTGTTGTAGGATAAGCTATATTGGTTAGAGCTAACATTTGATTAGTTTATCTGATTGAGTTGAAGTGAGGCCTGTGCTCTTATGATTTGGAAATGCCATGTTGAAGCTGGATGGCTGAGTTAGAGCTCTTATACTTGACAAGAGGCGATGGGATTATGAATTCTCAACCCAAAGCACTAGTCAATAAGAATACCTTGGTTGAGCTAAATCTAACAATGGAAGTAGAAAGTAGAATCTGTTTAGTATTGGGGGTTTGCCACTTATGTGAGGTACTATGTAGGGCTAAGTTGGGGAAGGTTCACCAATCTGGAACTGTCAGTTCTTTCCATGTCTAGAGGGTTGATCCTCTTCTTTGGAAGAGTGGATATATCGTACATGGGTACCTTCTGTCAGTGCAGACAAGCAGGCTGTGTGGACTGGGCCTGATCCTTGGACCTTCAGGCCATATATCTAGGGTTTAGGATGGCCTATTAGCATGAATAAAAAAATCAGGAGAGAAAAGTACGATAAGAAAAAAATGCATTCACATTTGCTGGATAAATGACGATATGTGAGATCTTTCAGTTTCTCTCCTCTTATGGAGGGTGGATCCTCTTCTTTGGAAGTGCGGATAGCATACATGGCTAATCTTGTTCAGCGCAGATTAGCAAATTGTGTGGACTGGGCCTGACCCTTAGGCCTTTACACATGCCATATATCTAGGCTTTAGGATGGCCTATTAGCATTACTAAAAAATCAGGAGAAAAAAAGAGAGTATGATAAAGAAAGAAAAGAATACTATCACATTTGCTGGATGACAAGTATGGGGCTAAAAGGATGTGAACGGAATGATCAGATGTAATTGTAACAAAAACCAGGTTCAGATAAAAAGATGAGTAGAGAAGGAAAGAAGGGGTAATAGTAAGTGTGAATAATTAACCACTGATCTTATAGATTGCAGGTAATTCTTTTCTTTTGTATATCAGTCATGTGATGTTGGGGCTTCTCATTCATGGCATGCCGGATCTTGTTATTTGGGAGTAAAGAGCAGAAGAATTGTCTAGAACTCTATTGCCTTTCCTTAGATGGATTTTAATTAGTTGATATATCTGGGCTCTTCTTAATGTTAGGGAACTGTGGAGATTTTTGTGCTTAGTTTGTTCATTAATTCAATCTACCATCAAAGCTTTTGGATTTTCCATATAGCTAACGAGACGAACTTTAGTGACTGGTTAAATTGGAAACCCAATGTATAAGGCTACTCTTTCTTTAGAGGCTTCGGTCAACAGTAGAAACCACCAGATCTGTTTCCTTCTTTCTTTTTTGGCTTTCATCTCTGCCATGGTTATTCATTTAAAAGGTCAGCTTTCTTTCCTTTGTCATTTACACCTGTCCAAATTCTACTTCCCTTTGTTAGTTATTCACACCCCCTGCAAAAATCTTAAAGTCACTGAGGCCTTTTTTTGTGGTGTTTT